AGCCTACAGTCCTTTGTGGCTGTTCTGCTTTCAGTGCCCTAACTTTGTCTCTGGCCTTCCATGACCCCTCTTAAGAGGCTGAACCCTCAACCCCTTGACTCAACTTCATCAATATGAAAGGGCCCCTATATACTTCTTGTCAGAACTTGGCCTACCCCCAGTCCTGCCTTGAGCCTTTTCTAGTAAGCCACACGTGTGTGTGTGTGTGTGAGTGTGTGCACAGCGGTGGGTATGTGCCTGCACTTTTGTGTCTCTGTGTAAAGGAATGAGTGTCAGAGAGACTGTGGGGCAGCACAAGAAAATACAGGCACAGGGATAAAAGAGAGAGAATGTCTCACTGTGTTTTTTCTTCAGTGTACAAAATATCCTCAGCTTTCATGTGTAGACTTATTTTTTTTTCTTTACTCTTAGTAGTATCAACTTTATTGGCTTCAACAATCCTAAAACCAGTGCAGCATTAGGAAATGGCACAGCAGAGAATTATTATACAGTATAAAGGGGTAAATCTCCAAGATACCATTGTGTCCATTGTGTGTAGAGGCCTCACAGGTTGCTTTGGATGTTTGTTGGTAAGATTAATAAGAGATTAAGGTGTGCTTCAAAGATCTTTTAGCTGGTGTGCATGTGTGTGTCTGTGTGAATGTCAACCCACCTACTCCCAGGCAACCATGCTAAACGGCATTCAACAGCATCACAGGGCTGTTGGGGTGACTGGGGAGAGGCTATATCACAGCAACAAATGGGACGATTGGATTAAGAGCCAGAATCTCTTTTTTTCAGTCCAGCCAGGAAGTCTGGAACCAATTACAGTACAAAGACAAAACAATGCATTGCAATGATTGGATGCGGTTGGGCTGGTTGGTACAGAAGAGTGCTTGGGGGGGTGATGGCAGACAGAGCCATATACTGTTGTTGTACATCCAACTGTATCCAGTTTCTGAATGTAGGAACCAGGATAGGTGCCAAAGAAACACTAATGGGTTCTTTATCGCTGAACATAAAAGCTAATATGTATGTTTCCAAAATATTTAACTGAGCCCTGGGTGGAATTCTACTTCAGGCC